TCATCGTAGATAACATTACAGAGATTTGGCATAGTGTAATATGCCATAAAATTATACTCTCTAGAAGTAAAATACTCATATTAATTTGCCATTGGAAAATATTTTTTTATTATTAGGTGTAGATTTCAAAACTTTGAATTAATAGAAGAATGTTAAATGCAAAATGTACAATTAATAAACACATACATAAATCACATTGTATCAGAAAAAGAGGATGTGAGAATCTAAACTAAACATTTGGCAGAGAGATATTTGTTCCTATGAGTTTTATTAAGGTGTAGGACTCTGAATTCAAAAGAGAAAATGATGCATTTTAAAGTAAGAAATTTATTATCATGCTTAAAAGTAAATTTCCCTTTCTTCGTTACCCAAGTTCATATGAGAAAATCCTGCCAAATAAAAATCTAAGATCATTTGACTATGGTTATGTTTCAGTAGATATACTTTAATATGAATTCACACATTTAGACTACTACATTATTATGTATAATTAGATGAGATAAAGCCTATCTTTTTACATTTTCCATCTTAAATTATGTGTTTAGTCATCTATAAATTTCATGATAAAATTTAAGTAGAACATTTTAAAAGTATACTTCTTAATATTACTTTTTAGTGTAAGGATGGGTTGTGTTTAATATAATTATCTCTTAGTTATCATTGCTAGGGCATGAGAGGAGTATTGGATAATTAAAATTTGTTAATAAACTACATCGTGACTGGTTCGTGTCTATGGTATATTGTGAAAAAGGCTTGCCTCATGAAATGGCTTTGAAGTAGCTCAGTAGGTAGAAGGTATAGGAATAAACTGTGACAAAGGTCATACCTCCGATTGTTTCAAGAAATGATAGTCTCTTCGGACCAAATTTTCTGGTGGAGACAACCAGATTGTATTTTCTGTTTTACGTAAAGTATTTTAAAATCTTCTTAAAAATATTATAGACTAGTTAAGACAGTAAAGACTGAGATCAAGGACTAAAATCTGAAAGACTGAAAGCAGGAACCTGAAGAAGTTAGTGCAGAACACTGAAAGTAACTTTTTGACCTTGCGGAATATGCCTGTGTGTATAAACCTGAGGAAGTCAAAGGCCATTGTCACTGTAATATGGGGAGCCTTAATAGGAGATCATCTTTCCGATTAAATGATACATCAAAGGATGACATATTCACAATAGGGTAAATCAGAAGTAGTCCTCCCCTTCACAAGCCTTAGAGTAATACAAAGATAATTACAGGTCGAGTTTCCATAATCCGAAAATCTGAAATCTGAAATGCTCCAAAATTTGAAACTTTTTGAATGCTGACATTATGCTCAAAAGAAATGCTCATTGGAACATTTTGATTTCAGATTTTTGGATAGGAATGCTTGACTGGTATGATGTAAATAATCCAAAATCTGAAAAAAGTCTGTAATCTGAAACACTTCTGGTCCCAAGCATTTCAGATGTGAGATACACAATCTGTACTGCCTCCACTGTTATAAAATCAATGTGTTCCATTCCAGTGGTTATAACTTTACCTTTCCCCCAATCATCTCTTACTCGTGCTTGACCTTTTATCCAGAAGGATCAGGTACAAGAGGACCAAGGACATTTTTATGAAATTTACAGGGACCCATTGTGTCTCCCACTTTGAACAACATGGTCCACTATAGAGGAATTGGGTATGCAATATTAGCTTTATGTTCTGAGATCATTCAATCCAACAAGGAAACCCATATATGTGAGCTGGAATTAAGTTTGTCTGAAAGTCATGTTGGAGGGTTTGCCAACCAGGACAACATGGAGTTGCCACTGGAGAAAGAAAGATCATGTCTGTAATAGTCAGGGTGGAATTCTGAATTTTTAAAATAGGTCTGTATAAATCCTACTTTTTCATCCTGATTGTTACTCAGGATGCAGCTGTGAGGGAGAACTGCTTTAAGAAGGTATGTGGAACAGGAGTAGATGAAGGAGGCAAAATTAGAAATCTTTTAAAATTGGTTTTTGAGGAGGATTCAAATGCTCAATAGTATCAGATACCTGTGGATGGTAGGGAGTATGGAAGGTCCATTAAATAACTAACAACCCATTTCTGAGTGGCTTTTATGACAAAAGGTACATCATGTCAGATTACAGATGGCCTGCAAAAGTTGAAAATATGACACAGGTAAGTTTCATGGACCGCAGAGGTGTGGCAGGAGTTGACTGATAGACAGCAACAAAGTGAGGCACTACTGATAGTCCTAAGAAGAGTGGTCATAGGCTCAATGTAGTCAATCTGTCAGGAGTGGGCAAGAGACACACCCTTTGTAATGTGGCCTCCCTCACCCCGAGATACACAAGTCAACTTTTGACAGGAGTCACATATCTGATGTGCAGTGGTAGCCTCCGTCCGTATCAGGAGCATAGAGTTGCTTAATTTGTACTTAGTATATGATCCTGGACATGTTTCCGTGTTTGGTACCATGATAGATTGTGGCAGTGGTGGTGATCTGGGTGATGCAGCCTCAATCAGAAGCTTAATTCTAGTCGTCTCATTGGAGAGCTAACAGGCACTGCTACCATCACAATGGCTAAAATTAAAAAAACTGAGAGGAGGTGATGTCAACAAGATGGCCAACTAGGGTTGCCTGACTCTTATACCCCCAATAAAAAGGAACTAAAACAATGAGTAAAATACCATATTTTTGTCTGGAGTGACTGGAGAAATGCACTGAAGAGCACCCAGGGAGCAGTGAAACCCGTGTGGAGCGTGGAAGCCCAGGATAGCTCCATAGAGAGGGGAGCAAGGCATCCCGACTTTGCTACACTGTCTTTCCTGCTGGGATCATATCAGAGCTGGTGGGGGGAGGGCTCATCTTACAGGAAAAAGGTCAGTTGGAGACCCTTGGTGGTCCCCATCACTGCCATAGATGCCAGCAGTTATTGCTACAGGAAGGTCCCCCAGTCTTCACAGGCCCTGAGTCTAGTGTGAACAGTTGCCAGGAGTGTGCACAGCTGCATTCCCATAGAGCAGGAACCCCCCTTGACATTCCCTACCCCTATAACCTAAGTGGCTATAGCACAGTGCTACCTTGAACCTGAACCCACATCTGGAGTGCATCTTGCCCTGGCGGCCAGTAGCCACCAAACCCTTGCATCCCTGAGGCACTGCCTTAATTCCACTAAATTCACATAAATGCCTGCAGCACCAATACCTTGGCTACTTGGAGCCTAGGCCCAGAGAAATAACTGGGACCCCAATGACCAAACCCATGAGGCACCGTATCACCCAAGGAAACAGGTGGGC